AACTTCAGTTTGCTTCAATCGCGAATTTCTAGTGTTACAGATTAAAGGAGATTAGGAGGGCCATCTTGTTTGAGCAAACACACCTGCAATAGTGAGTATTTGCATGGCATACAAATCTCACTGACCCACTGACCGGCATCCATAATGACCTTTACCACTCTAACCTTCGACATTTACGCTGTGACCTCACAGTGACCCATTGAGGCCAGCATGATATTTGTGCTTCCGGAAAGTCGCTGCACGATGTCGTCTGAAAACACCTCCCCCGTCTTGAGTTTTCTCTACCGCCATGTGTCGATCACGGCCCTGTGGTGCCCGGTGGCTCTCGCCGCGGTTGTGCTGGTGAGGGTTACGGCGGCTGTCCTGCGATCGCTGCGGAATCGGTGGGCCATGGAGAAGGTTTTCCCCGTCCCACGGGGGCACACTGGCTGCTGGGACACCTGGTGTTTGTGAGTTAACTGCCGAATCGGTTTATGGTGCCTTGTATTAACGACCTAGAAGATCTCGATTTACACCCACATAAGCCCTGGGCATTTACCCCCATTTTTCATATATCAGGGTCCTGTCACATAGCCGTACGTACGATCGTCAACTTTAAATATAGGACATTTTAATGATAGCCACACTTGAGTCCTGCACAATACAACTGTCTTGTTACAGAAATGCTGTCTTCCTTGTCGGCTGTTGGTTCTGTCACAGCCTGCTTCAAAATTCTACATCATCAAAATCCGGCGTACTGTGAACTACGACAAATGTCATGCATTTATTGTCCTGTTTGTACTGATAAGGTACCATCGCAAATCCTGCACGCCCGGTAAAACCGCCTATAATGCTCAGAAAGATAGAAATGTTCCCATGGGTCACTGATTACTGTTTGCCACAGCAAGTCGCCCGTTTCCTACGCGTACTCAAATAAACATTCATTTGTTCTGCATAGGAGGAGAAACATATTATCTTACTACTCGTGTTACTGAGTGCGTCTTTATCACCCACTTCTCTCTTCCTCTTCGCTATGATCAAGTAACGTTAGAATTTGTTTCTTCAAATCATGGACCGCATTCACACATGCCATCTCCGGAATGAGAATGATAAGCTAAGTCTTATTACAAAAAATTACTAGTTCATGGCACAAATAAATTGATTAAAACATTGTACAAACATAAATCGTGGCTCGAATCGTGGCTACTTATTCACTGTCTTTACTAGTTGAGAGGAGGTGATCGTCAGTTCCACCAGACATTGAAGGAATGGACCGAACAGTACCAGTACGGTTACATCTTCAGACACGGTGCAGCGATGGGTCGACTCGTGGCAGTCCATCCAGACTATATACGAGCGATACTGGTGCGAACAGGTCTGTATGGAGCGTTCAACGGTCTGGACTTGTTCGTCTATCTGTGTGCTTTATGTGTGCGTGAATTCACACTGCAGTCTTTATGTCTGCTGCCAGAGGGAGCTATCCAGTTATATGTTCCACCAGAGGGAGTTTGCTATCTTCAAAACACCTGCTACTTTTTAGGCATTAAAAAGTAAATCATGTGGCTGGTCAATAAAAAAGGGTATGACAATATTAATGTTATGAAGGTCAAGTTACTGAGAATTATCTTTGATTCTCTTGTTTTCATTTGTATTCAACAGACAAGAAGCTTGAAGTCATCTACGGAATCTTGAGACCATGGCTGGGTTTGTGAAGATTTGTCTTTTCTTGCAATGACGAACGTATCTATTGGCGCTACAACATTTGTATGTAAAGTTTGTGCAGTCACATTTATAGCCTTTAATGTATTGAATAGCAAGGTAAAGCTAAGTATACTGCATGCATTTAGCTTCATAAGGAGTAGAGAGGAAATCGCAGTATGTTTTAAAATTCTACTTATCAAACAGGTGATGGTCTGCTACTGAGTAGCGGAGCCAAGTGGTTCCGGAACCGCCGCCTCCTCACACCGGGGTTTCACTTCGAGATCCTCAAGCCGTACGTTAGGCTCTTCTCGGAGAGCACAAACGTCATGTTGGTAAGTACAATGGACTCAAATCCATATGGGGAATGTCAATATCACAACTACTGGACTGACTCCAAACGTTTTTTTAGGAAAATGGTCTAAAATGTGTTGTGAAAGGTATTAAGTTGACCAGGCAAGCTATCAGATGCGACAAATATTTGGTTTTCAAGTCAAACATGATTGTGATTTTTTTTTCCAACGTTACAAAGCAGCAAACTAAAAAAAACGTTGAATTGTAATATATTGGTCTGGTGTAAACACACAGGATAACTGGAAAAAACTGAAGTCTGTTTCGTCCATTGACGTGTTCCACCACGTGAGTCTGATGACGCTGGACAGCATGCTGAAGTGTACCCTCAGCCAAAACACCAACTGCCAGACCAAGTGGGTCACTAAATGTATATTGTTTACAATTAGCATCTGATGAATCTCTGTACAACACACTACACATCGTTGTGGCAAAGCGTTATATAGCGTTTTCCTCTTCTGCAGCTATGGCAATTGTTCAAACAAAGTGTCGTCTTTGGTCGTACACTCTAACTATTGCGCGTAAGAAATTGTGATAATTGACCGAAGTTATGATGATAAGATACTAGTATATATAGAGATACCGACAGTCAAATTAAATTCAATTCAAAAAAATATCATCCCATGTGATATTTCAGCGGGGGGGGGGATTTTTCTTATGAATGAAAGTGAATTAAGACCACTTTAATTCATTTAGTTGTCAATTGAAAATTAATTGTCGTTTGTTAAATTATGACTGTAACTCTAACATATCCAAACGCAAGGAAAACCAACGACTACATCTCTTCAATCCACGAACTGGCAGAACTGGCAACACAGAGAGGGAGGAGTCTAGTTTACCTCCTGAGTGACTTCGTGTATGGCCTCTCGGCTAGTGGAAAAAGGTTACTACAATGTTTATAATTTGAGGCTTTAAGGTATGAAACAATGATAGAAGGCTATATATCTGTATTTAGAGAGTTTATATGTGTGTTGACATGTTAACACATATTGTATTCAAAAAGATGACGCCACAGGATATGTATTTCGCATGTATTTTGCCTTGTTTCACTATTTTCACTATTTCCTTTTTATTTCGCTATTCAGTCGAACCCTAGATTTGCCTATTCAGTCGAACCTTAAAGTTGTGTTTGTGTGTGCATTTGTGTGTGTGAGTGTGTGTGTGTTTATGTGTGTGTGTGTGTGTGTGTGTGTGTGTGTGTGTGTGTGTGTGTGTGTGTGTGTGTGTGTTAGTGTATGTCTATGTGTCACTGTGTTTGTTTGGCGTGTGTGCATGTGTGTGTCTTTCTGTCTGTGTGTCTTTTTTAGTATATATATGTGTCTGTCTGTCTGTCGTGTATCTGTCTGTCTGCGCGTGCGCGTTAGTATGTGCTCTAGATAGAGGTGAGCCTTTCAAAGCCACATTCTTATTAACAATGCATTTACCTCGATACCAAGGCACAAAGCCGCCTGCCAGCGTGTCCACCAACACTCCGAACAAATCATTCGTCAACGTAAAGACGTTCTGGAGGGGCAGTCGGCTGGAGACAGTACCCATGACAAGAAATATCTGGACTTTCTCGACATTCTGTTGAGAGCAAAGGTACTTTGAAAGAAGACATACCTCTTATACTCTTTTACTTATATGTCCATTTCGAGCAATATCAATTGTACCAATTCCAGATTTTCCAGCATTTAAAGGTAACGATCCAAATCCTGTAACATATGTAAAACTTAATCAGCCATCAGATGTTTCGGTGGTAAAATCAACTAGCCTACGGCAAGGCCAGACACTATTCAGTCTTTTCCGCAGTGAAATTGAGACAGGATTTTTAATTGTCGTACATTTGTACAACATCATCCTAAACATGTTGATTGTTTCAGGATGAAGACGGTAACGGTCTGACGGACGCTGAGATCAGGGACGAGGTGGACACCTTCATGTTCGAGGGACACGACACCACAGCCAGCGGGCTGTCCTGGACCCTGTACTGTCTGGCTCGTCATCCGGGACATCAGGAGAAGTGCAGGAACGAGGCACAGGAAGTGCTGCAGGGGAAAACGGAAGTGACGTGGTGAGAACGTGGTCAAAAGCTTGTTTGTTTCGTGTTTTGGATATCCTTTGTTTCTTTGCTCGTTGCAGATACTAGTATCAAGCGGAAGAAAAACCGGGCTATCAAATAGGTCAGTACTAATGACATAGCATTCAAATGGATGTGGTTAGAGACTTCCTTCAAACAAACAATTGTGCACACTTTTCTGGAAATGCATTTTTTTGCCAGCGGAAGGTCATTTATGTTTTATCAAAAAGAAGGTTGATAGGCTATAGAGGAAGAGATTTTTCAAGTAGCCGTCGAAAGTAACACATACCATATCTTTAGACGATGGAAATTAAACTTGAATTTGGACATTTCACAGCCATAATCTTTGCCTGTTCATACACAGGGACGACCTACCGTCGATGAAATACATCACTATGTGTGTGAAGGAAAGCCTGAGGATGTACCCGGCGGTTCCTGAAATATTACGAGAAGTGGAGACTCCTCTCAACTTCCCCGATGGAAGGACCTTACCTGAAGGTGACAAAACTTGCGTGGAACTTGCGACAGTTTAAGATGTCTATTTTCATTATTTACACCGTGTATATCATTTCAATTATTCAAAGATGATCAGGTAGTGAGAAAACTCTCTTTCCATACACATCGTTAGCAGACGGAGGACGAGAGAGACTCAACAGATAAAATAGGTTTGGTAAGCAGGCTAGCACACCGTGACATATGACTTTGGAGGCTTCTATCTCTACTTTGTTAAATTGTTCTAACTCGTGTTTCAGGATCACAGGTGTATATCGGGCTGTATCATCTTCACCATAACCCCCACATCTGGGAGAGGCCTGACGTATGTTACTTATTTCTATCTATTTGTGACAATTATGAATATTTCAAAAAAAATCTGTGTCAATGGCACCTGTTAGATGCATGAAATATTCCATATTTCCGTTCACGTAGACAAGGAACAATATTTGGCGAATTCAATTGAAATCATTAAGTTGTATCTTTATCGTTCATCAGGAATACGACCCTCTGCGCTTTTCACCTGAGAGCTCCAAGGACAGACATCCGTACGCCTTTCTACCCTTCTCAGCAGGGCCCAGGTTTGTAGCCCCAAACACCCATCCACACTCAAACTTCACTTTGTTTCCTAAAGCTTTCTGTCATGAGTCCTACTCTGTGTACTTTGACAGTTACGAACTTACGATGAATCAACTTACCGTCATTCATTTGTTAACAAACCACTGTCGTAATGGCTCGACATCAAACTATGAATGTTTATGCATATATATAATGTATTATAGAAACTGTATCGGACAACACTTCGCCATGAACGAGTTGAAGACAGCTGTAGCGCTCATCCTGCAGCGGTTCAGCCTGACTCCTGACGACACCCTGCCGGAGCCTTTCCATGTAACCAGGCTGGTCCTACGGGCGGAGCATCCTGGGCTCTTCCTGAAAATAAAACCTGTCTAAATGGAATGAGCACCTAGCCTATTGACCTGCAGTTGTAGTTCTCTTCCAGCAGACGGTGTCTGTGAGCCTTAACCCTCATCCGCCTAGCCTGATTGAAGTCCGTTTGGACACCGGGCGTAGAATCGTACCATTTCAACATTTTCGATTGGAAAAAAAGCTCCTTTCATATGTCTTCCATAGATGTGTTACAACTTTGCATAGACTTATATTGGGATTAGCTCCTTGATGTAAAGGTTTTGTTGGAAAGTCCTTAGTGGGGTCCAAACGGACCCCAACAAAATATGTATTCATATTTCTTATAGTTTTACATATACTAGTATCTAATACATCAGTTCTTATAACATCAGTTATACCATAGGAACGACTTATGTTATAGACGTTATTTTGTAGGAATGTTAAAAACGTTTTGGAAGAAAAAAGTGTTTAACTCAAATTGTGGTGCTCCACGGTTTTGCAACATCAATTTTGGTAATGAGAAGTGATTTCATGGTATCTACATTAAAGCATGTCAAACTATTCTTCTTTGATGATGATCCTTAACTGTGTGTTTTTGTTTGTTTGTTTGTTTGTTTGTTTGTTTGTCTGTATCTGTATCTGTATAGCCGGCATAACCGCCCTTCGGCGTAATAGTAATACACCAGCTCTTTGGTATTCACATTATGAAAAAGCCCGTATAAAAAAGGAATGAATGAGATTTTGATACTTCTACATGTACTTTTCTATAAGCAGCTAAGGCTAGAAGCACACTTTTCTTTAAGTTACCGATATCGACCATCCACTTCTATGTTCATCGGTGGTGCCCGCTGTTGTCTCTATACACGAAGTGTATCATCGGGTGCCTCTCTCGCTCCCGTGATAACCTTTGAACCCGGAAGTTACATTTTCCAGCTCGACGACCCCCCCCCCCCCCAGTCACTCTACGGCAGCAGAAAGGGCGTTACATATTTTGTGGTCTTGTTTGTGCATCTGTACTGCCCGGAGACACAAATTTGCCACCAACTCTGCTTTTGTACGATCTAGACCGACCATGGAGGGAGTTAAGCGGACGCCGCTAGCGGTCCGAGACGCGTACTTGCTTGAGTTCGTCCGCCACCCCGACCGCCGCGGCCATCTTGAGGAACTGTACAACGAGACGAAGTACCCCCCAGGTGTGATCCAGCACTGGGCCCAGGTCACCTGCTCAACGTCTTACCGTAACGTCTTGAGGGGACTGCACTGTTCCACGTAAGTTTTTTCTTACGACTTATGTTTGAATTTCTCCATAGCAAGGTACACATTATAGACGGTCTGCATGGGGGGGGGGGGTCCTGGCAACGGTTAACGGTAAATTCAGCAGGGCCGATAACGCTTAACGGTAAATTCAGGAAGGTCGGCAACGCTTAACGGTGAATTGACAGGCTTTTTTTCGAGCTGCACTGGATTTGGTATCTCGCTTTGCGAGAAAAGGCGATCACTGACAAAATTACGTATACCTTACATGTAATGAAGAACGCATTAAAGGTGTGTTCCCTGTGTTTCCCACCTGCCCTGGTCCCCTAATGCGTCCACAAATAGAGGGGAGTCCAAGTCGACGTCGGCCAAGGCTCTACCCAGCTTGACTTTTTTCCGTCCGCCCAGTTTTACCGATGGATTTTGAGAGGCGCTCGCAATCTAAGGGGGTCCGAAGGGTGCTCCCCGGGAAATTTAAGATTTTTAAGCCTTCAAAAACGCATTTTGAGAGGCAAATCATGGTGTTGAGAGTGTTTGTGGGTACGTCCTTCTGATGTTTTCGTATTTTTACTCAAGATTTTTTTAGATTTTGTCTGTCAAGGTCGACGGATTCGATAAAAAATTCTGTAACGCTCCGCAAACTTCCGGTAATTGACTGAAAACTGTTTCTGGCTAGAGCCGTAGGGGACCGAGTCCAGAAGCGCGAGTCGAGCGCCAAAAGGCGCGAGCAATGTAGGGGGGTCCGGGGGCATTCTCCCCCGGGAAATTTTGTATTTTTGAACGTTCAATGACGCATTCTCCTGCACTTTGAAAGGCAAAATTAGGCCTAACGAAGAATTATTCATTAACGCTTAACGCTGAATTTAGGATGACAAATAACGTTTTACGTTGAATTAAAACGACCAATAACGCTTCACGATGAATATACTGATAACGCTTAACGTTGAATTAGAGCAGGCCGGCAACGATTAACGGTAAATTAAAATAGCCCATAACGGTTAACGAAAAAGGGCATGCAGGCCCTCATTATAGTACATGTAAGTGTGTGACTAAGGTATATTATTGCTAGCCTGGTTACCAAACCTATTATAGCTCCCGAGTCCTACATCCTCTCCTCTATTTGTGGAGAGGATGCAGGACTCGGGAGCTAAATAGGTTTGGTAACCAGGCTATATTATTGCGCGTATGGGTGTATGGCTAATAGTAACAAGAAAATGTTTCCTCCATCGCATATATTCAGTTTCAGTGGACAGGACCCTTACGTTAGCAATGGATAACCTGTGGAATTATGAGAGTTTAAGTTATTATATCATCTTTACGTAGGTCTCATACACACGTTTAACTTTGGGGTATTTGTCACGACTGCTTTGCCAGGTAAACTTCTAACTTTACATTTCCACTGAGTTAATATGTGGCGACCCTTCATTATATCTCATATATATGCTACTCAAGATGTTTGAGGACCCACTCTGACATTTGCTTTTTGAAATGTTTCTCTACAGGTACGGGAAACTCGTGACGTGTGTGGCAGGCCGTATCTATGACGTAGTGGTGGACCTGCGCGTGACGTCGCCGACCTATCTCCGCTGGTCCGCCGCCATCCTCAGCGACGACAACCGCCGTCAGATGTACATCCCGCCGAACTGCGCACACGGCTTCTACACCCTCGGGGAGAGAAACACCGTGGTGTACTGCCAAGGAGGAGTGTACGCGCCGGCTTCGGAGAGAGACCTGCTCTGGTCCGATCCGGTAGTGAATGTGTACTGGCCTCTCAAGACGGGGATCACGCCCGTTCTCTCAGACAAGGACCTTTCCGCGCCTCGCCTAGACGAGAACGAAGTTCAAGTTAATCCACTTAGACAGAGGTACCTGGTCATTGGTGCATCCGGCCAAGTGGGCGGGGCCCTCATGGAGGCACTACGTCACCGCTCGAAGGAGATCGTTGCCATAGGAACGTATGATTCTCATCCACAGGAGGGGATGATACCGTTCAGCCTAGAAGAGGCGGGAAGATCTGAGGACGTGTGTAAGGACCTTCTGACTATGGTTCGCCCGTCGGTGGTCATCATTTGCGCGGCCTTCACGTGGACTGACGGCTGCGAGAGAGCACCAGAGAAGGCTCAACTCGTCAACTGCACCGCGGTAGTGAATCTCGCCCACTGCACTAAAGCCATCAACTCCAAAGTGGTGTTCTACTCGACCGACTACGTGTTTCCCGGCAGCGAGGAGGATGGCATCCCTGCCGGCGGTTACAGCGAGTCGAGCCCGTGTAAGCCACTTCAGACGTACGGTGAAACCAAGTGTCGCGCCGAGCAGAAGCTACTAACTGTCCATCCGCAGGCGCTAATCCTCAGAACCTCCACCGTGTTCGGTCCTGAGGAACAAGGGAAAAACTTCGTGTACCAGCTTGTCTCCAACATGGCGTCGGGAAAGGGCATGGTGGTCACCGACATCAAGGTCACGCCCACCTACAACAGGGACCTAGCAGCCATGACCTTGAAGCTGATTGAACAAGGTTGTTCCGGGAGGTATCACGTGGTGGGAGACGAAGTCATGACCAAGGTAGAGTTCGCTACACGCGCGGCGCGCTGCCTGGGCATGGACGCGTCCAAACTCCGCGTGACTGGGAACGTGAGCGGCGACAGTGGGTGCAAGAGGCCGAAGGACGCAGTTCTCTCTTCAGAGAAGAGGAAAGGGGAACTGCCAGGTTTCACATGCAGAAACGTGGAAGAAGCCATCGCCAACTGGCTAGAGCAAGGGGCCGGGAAACCGTTGATGTCTTAGCCATGACCCAATCCAAAAATCTTGCTGCTCACTCTTTGTTTTAGAAGAGATCAACCTTTTTATCAAATTGCCCGGGTATATTTGCGTGACCAAATGTGTTTTCAGTTTTAGAAAATGTTTAATATTGGTCTACGTTTGTCAGTGGATGGCGGCAGCATAACTTTTCTAAGCTAACACGAATCCATTTTAATACAAAGAATGTTTTATTAAAATATGTTCGCTCTAACTGTAATTAGATCAACCGAATATCCAAGATTGTGATTTTAATGTCCATAGTGAATTGTACAAGTATTTTAAGATGCATAATTAGATCTATCAACCAAATGGATAATGTAGATAGAAGAATTAGTTGAGAAAAGTTATTCTAATTTGCGTCAGGCTACAAACTAGCGTGTTGATTCTAGGATATACAAAGAGATTCGAATATGCAAGAGAAGAAAGAAAAACAAACTTTGAGCTTCCTTTGTACTTGGGTTTAGGTCAGATTTCCAAAACGGGGTCGGTCGGGCTATTGAACAAAAAATAAAGATTCATATCAAAAATATACACGAATAGTGCTCATGATTTATTTTTGAAACGTTTTTCTGTGTTGTTGTTTTTTATACATCCTCCCATGGCAGGGGCAGCGGCTCCGAATTCCTTCTCTAAGGGGTGAAGAAGGAATTCGGAGCCGCTGCCCCTGCCATGGGAGGATGTTTTTTATACTGTATGTTTTGTTCCCGCCTGGCCGGGCCCCGAGTTGGGAAATGTGCATAAGCCGTGAAGTTTGCTCCTATCTTCACCATGGTGTTTGCGTGACTCTGGGGTGAATGACCTGTCCTCTAACAATCACGTGTTATTTACCCTTTGCGTCGGCTTGTGGGGGCTTAAGGGTGTCATGTGAGAATTGACCTAAATGTATAGTCCCTTCCGTAAACAAACATCGAAAAAGTAATCACTTAAGACTAGGTTCTAGAAGTATTTAACAGTGAGTTAAGAATAGTCCTCAGCGTTTTGCAGGACAGTTTTCCGTCATGTTTTCTTGGCTGGCACAAATAGACCGATCCCTATAGCCCCTATAGCTACCTCCGCCAAAGCGTAGAAGTGCAAATGTCTGGCGGACATATAGAAACTCTCTCATTGATCGAACCGCTAATTGTCAACCAACCATTGGTTGAACTGCTAATTGTGATCAACAGTCAGGGTCTATCGGTGTCTTGGATCCCTCATTTCTCACACCTCGCCATGCCAAATCTTGTTTCTCAAAAACATGTCCAAAATACATGTATGTGTTAAGCAAACCTACATTTTGTCCCGAGGCCATTTCACAGCCCAAATACATGTACCAGGTTTATGACATGCCCACAAGCCCTTGTAATGGTACACAAAGCAAGCTAGTGATCATGATACCTATTGATATATGCTTCTTAGAAGTAGGAATTTCGGCTTTCTTGTCGGTTTTTCGAATTATTCTTTCTTTCAAATTGCTAATTCACGCGTTTTCAGTGACGACAAAGCCATACATTACTAACATTCTCAAACAGGTAAGGTCTTTTTTTACACAAATAAAAGTAACTTAGCTTTTTTTCGTTCAATAGTTCACTATATACCCGACCGTTACCTTCTGCTGTCTTAATGATAGTTTTTATTTCTTTTTCATGAACTTTAATAAACAAAGTCCTATCGAGCTCCATATTATTTGGCATTGTTTCAAAACTAGTCTAGTTCAGACACCTTATCGCAACCGCTGCTAATTTGCATAAACCCACCTGTGGTTGTTGATTAACATGTTAATATTATTGTTCATTGCTTATCATTGAAATCACGCACTTTAATTGGTATCACGACAACTGTATTTGTTTCCCCCACCGTTGATTATGAAAGACAGCCGCATCGCTTTACATGTGATTATTCAAACCGGCAACGCACAATTACTGAGAGCACCGCCGCTATTGTTCGTAAACACCAACTGGCGAGGGAGGGTACCGGTCTTTCCGCATTTCGTTCGCGCATATAAGACGGTGATTCACAAGCGTGTGGTTAGTTGAGTAGTAGGGCTAGACACAACAAAGCCGGCTACTGACCGAGTTCTCAGCCCAACGTGTTGTTAGTTGTAGAGAGAGAGAGAGAGAGAGAGAGAGAGAGACAGGGCTTAGTCGGGGAAACATTTGGACGATCGACGCCAACCTCCAGTTCTCTCTTGTTGACAAACTTCATGGTGAAGTTGGCTTGTTGCAAACCTTGGGGGACGAGATGTCGATCGACGTGATGGCGCCGCAAGACCGTGGGTCAGAGAAGAAGACGAATACAGAGGAAGAAGAAGTGGAACACGACATCGACAGGCTTAGAAAGGTAACGAAAAACTTGAAGTAATTTTTCTGGCGCTGCTTCACTGCTGTAACTCAAGTATGATTCTACTGACGCATGTGTTTATGTATGAGCAGTGTCTGTCTAAAGTTTTAGAAACCCATATTCTTTGCGAAAATACCGGTAGGAGTGGGACGTTGTCCTGGAGGGATAGGGCACCAGCAGTATGGGCAACATTCTGTGTTTTGTTATTCTGTAAAAGTCTTTCAGCAGTATGTTGCTGGCGTTTTACTACTTTGATACCAAAATACCAACCCCCACCGGGCCCACCCCCAAAACTAGGTGCGACGAGGAATGCCCGGGTGCGTTTAAATTATGGGAAAATCACATTCATGGTTGTGTGCGACTTTGCAAAGTTTTGTTTACAGTGAGTCAAAGAGCCTTGGCCCAAATGAGAGCAGATATCTCACAAAGAGAGCTGTATTTTCACTATTATTTGCAAAAGGATTGCACATATGGCGACAGAACAAGTTAAGAGAACGCCTCTGGCAAGTAAGCTATTTAAACATTGCCAGTGACCCGAATTGTCGTAGGGCAAGCACAAAGTCGGATGGAGGCGATTGTTAGAGCTCAGCCGGCTGGAAACAATCTATTCCATGAATCCTGTGAACTACTCTGGTACAGTGTATTTGGGTATGATTCAAAATTTGTCTATGCGCGTATTACCACGTACCTTCTTAATTGTTCTGTAATATAAGGGTCTGTCCATTTTGGTACAGTTGTCTGAGAGTCTGATAAACTAGTGTGCGAAAAAAAAACAAGATAGAAAGAACAATGTTGAACCTATAACCTTGACTGAACAAAGAAAAAACCCAACCAGTTGCATTTCTATTGGAGAGGAACTGAGTACCAGTACTTATAGCACCACCTGTTATATATAACAGGTTGTGTTATTGCCTTATGATGTGGTTTGAGAAAAACCAAGGCCTCTTTTTAAACCTCATTGGAAAAACAAACACTTCCACATACAGAGTTTTAAAAACCTGTTTTCATCAACATTAGACGATATAGACATCTATGAACTTATAGACAATGCAACAGAAAAGCCTTTTGTAATTTAAATGCAAATGACCCAAACAAAACAAGCAATTTGAATTGGCTCGAATTATGTTGAGGTATTGTTGAAGATACCACATTGTTCATAAAATCAGTACAATCAGGAGGAGGAATCAAAGTGATATATTGTGACAGTTCACAAGTTAACTCTTTGCTTTTCTGTATTGTTGTGAACTTCTCAAAGTAGTGTTACATGTTGTACTGGTGAGGCCAATTGTCTTAACACCTGTTCATTTTATAAACACATTTCTTGAAGGAAAATAGCTACCTCGAGTATTTCATATGAGATATTGTTTTTTTAACAGATAGAAGAACTGAGAAGAATTCTACAGAAGGTGCTGGGCAGTACGAAGTATCCGATGTCGTCTGCATGCCAAGACAGAACGGCACAACCGACGGAGCAATGCGGGAGATACAGACTGTCAGCTCCCGTACACAATCCCGCCTTCCCCGTACGGAAAGGCGGGCCCCGAAGGGCGACACTAGACGGACGTTCTCGGGCGAAGCTCACGGAGAGGCCGAGGAATGTTGCCGTTTGCAAGGTGGATGGCGGAGTGACGCTGTTCCAGAGAGTGGACAACATGTTGGACGATGGCGAGATGGAGACAGCCATGTAGCGTGGCACATCGGTCATCCAACATGTCCAATGACATTCTTTGTTACATGACCGAAAACATCTTCAGTGTGACTGAGGCTGACAGCTGCAGGCACTACGGATTATGTACAAACTTGTACATAGTTACTTGCACATTTGTATATACATGATATAGATTTAGATATGTCATATTGTCCAGCTTGCAATACAATGATTAATGAGCTGGTATTGCCTGTATGGCAATTAGTAAATGCTAGTGCAAAAACACACTATATACATGATGCATGCGGGTATGGGTAGCATTAGCAACATGTGTACATGCATGATGTAAATCATGGACATGAAGATTAAGATACGGTAAAAAAAGTTGCAATGATGTTTGAGCCGCTTAGCAGGAATTTCAACTTCAGAATCAACACTTGTACATTGACTGTGTATGAATTTTCCGACATATGGAGAACAAATATATTGATTGGTTGATCAATATTGTTTTACATTTGTAGCATTTGTGTAGGTGTGCACGTACTTGTGTGTTTAGGGCATTGTGCATGTGAGCGCGCGTATGTGTGTGTGTGTATGTATATATATGTGTGTATCCGTAGTAGTTCTTTTCGTGAACTTGTTCATGACTAATAGAAAATAAAAAGACCATATATAAAAAATCGAGCGTTGCGTAGCGAAAATCCGGATGGTACCCAGGCTAGTGTATTCGGGTTTGCTTGCATAATAACCCTGTAGACTTGTCTAAATAACCTCAACACATGCTTTCGGGCCGTTCAGAATGGGAGTCCAAACAAAAAAGGAAACTATCCACATTCATTACAGTAACTGTTATACTAGTACATGTATATGTCACTGGCGAGATGGGAATCCAGGGGGGTCCGGAATCCTCCTAGGGGAAATTGGAAACCCTATCTCCCCTGGGAATCTGGAATTCAAGTTTTTTTTCGTACAAAACTGTGATCTGAATTCCAATCTCTCCTAGGAGGATTCCCAATTCTCCTAGGGGAGAAAGGGATTACAATTTGTCCTAGGACAAGTGGGAATTCTTACAGGACAATCTCCAATTTTAAAAGGAGAAATTCTGATTGCATCAAAATGCTTTGGAAAATAGACTGAGTTATTTCACCTAAACTTTCAATCAATTTCAGCATAGGTGAATATGTAAATCAGGCTAAGATATTTGCATCCGGCTATTGTAAGATACTAGTAGTGGCTCAAAAGCCAGTTTTTCCAGTTTGTTAGTGACTTGGTATATAAGGGATTGTTTCCCCCTGCCAAGCCAGTCAAAGTGATTTGGGTCTAAGTTAGGAAAGATTGCAATGATGGAATGAGAGCTGCAAGTTATGCCAGGACAAATCTTGATTCCAATCTAGTAATTCACCTACAATTATAGTAATAGGCTTGCCTATGCTGAAATTGATTGAAAGTTTAGGTGTGAAATGATTCAATCTGAGTTCTAGTATTTCTACTACTGAATTAGGATCTGAATATCACGATTCCAATCTCCTAGGAGGTTTCCAGATTCCCCTTGGAGGATTCCAGTCTCCCCTAGGGGAGACTAGAATCCCCTTCTCCCCTAGGAGGATTCTAGATTCTCCTAGGGGAGATAGGGATTCAAATCTCCCCTAGGAGGATCCCGGATCCCCCTGGATTCCAATCTCCCCTGTGACATATATCTGAATAGAAATCAGCCAGGTAGAAACTATTGGGGCATGCCTAAAAGTAGTAGTTCTTTTCGTGAACTTGTTCATGACTAATAGAAAATAAAAAGACCATATATAAAAATCATGGTACCCACTCATTAGTATAGCAAAACAACACAAAACATGACCATTGGTCAACATTTATTTTACTATTAACTCATATTGACAGAGGTTACAACTGCATCTTCCTTTTTGTAATGGAATGTATGCATCAGTCTGTAGTATATCTTTACATCACAAACACCATATTGGCAGAAGATTGCTACAATTCAGTCTTTTATCAATGTTGATAATCATCCACTGCTTTGTTCACATTGAAATATAGTACGAGCAAGCTACCATCTGCCCACAAAGTTGAATTACGATAAAACCAAACAAAATAAAAACTTTGATACTAAAAGCATAACACTATAAACAAAACTGAGATCCTCTTACTGTAAGGATATACAGTACTTACACATTTAATTGTGAGAGAGTATTTAAAAGTCTATGGATCCATCTGTGCTTAGGTTCTCCAGGTCAGAAGACAAGTGTGATGGTACATAACTACTGACAGATGCAGTGTTGGTAGATATCTTCCTGTCTCGTGGGAGAATTCTTGGCGGCGGACGATTACTTCCGCCCCTGTCTGCGTTTGCCTGTGAGTCCTCATCATTAGATGTCCTGGTATCAGTGGGAAGGGGCTTCTTGAACGATAGACCCATGACCGGAGACTTGGAGGGAGTGGGTGGGGGCGGGGCTCCAAGTCCAAAGCTCCCGGCTCGGGGACGGGAAGATGCCTGACTGAAAGCTGAGTGTCGGGACCTGTCCGACCGACCAGAGGCTACGGAGTCTGGCGATTGGCGGTCTTCTGAAGCATCTTGTTTAGGTTTTAAAATTGACTCCCGACGTTTTTCTACAGTAGTTGACGCCTGAGAAGGTGGCGATGGTGAATCAGATTCAACTGACCCAGGTGTAACGTCGTGAGACACATGACTAGCTGCAGTTGAGTATTCGTCATGAGTTTCAAAGTCTTCGGAATAGCTGTGACCAGATTCTGGCTCAGATGCAACATCCTGACGGCTCAGATCTTGTTTCCTTTCTGACTTTTCTGCCTGTTTTTCCTCTGAATCTTGCTGATCTAATGAGTCATCAGGCATCTCACTGTCATCCTGATTTGGTACGATGGGCAGGAACACCTGGATACTTTTCTTGCTCTGGTTCTCTGACTCTGAACTTCCCGCAGTGACCAAGCCCATGTCTACTTTCGGCGTCTCCATTTCTACAAGCGATTTGTCGAAAGGCAACGGTGCCTCTTCTTGGTCAAGGTGCTCTGTGTCTGACTGACTACGCTGTCTGGGCGTTGGCACAGGTTTCCTTCGCGTCTCATGTTGTTCTTCAGCTCTGTCAAACAGAACACCTGACTCACCTACCAGACTGCGAACCTCTCCTCCATGTCCATCTCTGAAATCCCTTTGCTCCGGTCTTCTAGATACTGTGACTGTTTGTTCGCTCGGTCGCTGTTGGGACGGCTGTTGAAGCTGTTCCAGTGGTCTACGAGGAAGTCTTTGAGGTCGATTCACTTCGTGCTGCTGTGCCGTTCTTTCCCCTTCCATCTTCTCCAGCCATGCCGGGTTGGACTGCTGAATGCGTAGCCGCAGAGAATGGGTCATGCCATATTTCAGCTTACTCCGTCCCCGTCCGCGCACGGGAGCCGGGGGCACCTGTCGTATCCAAGATCTTGTCTTGGGCACGGGTCGGTCACCTTGCGCGCAGGGCTTGTGACGTACCCTTAAGGGTGACCCATGCATTATACCTGTACTTTCCTTTTTGCCCCATTCTGATGTTTGTGGAGCAGGCCGCCTGGGAGGTGCTGTTTTCGGACGAGATACCCTCTCACTTGCCTCCTCTCTTGGTGTGGGATATCGATGCTGACTTTCAAAAACATGCATGCCTACTGAACGTCCTTCTAGAACAGACAACTCTGAAAACAACTGGCGAAGTAAAGGAAGGCCAGTAGGTATACTGATAGGAGGGCTTTCATTTCTTTCATGTTCAGCTTGTACCTTCACATTTTGAGAAGTCTGTATTCCTTTTTCTACTTTGACACCTCTGATTTGTGGATCTTGGTTTTCCTCTTCAGGGGATTCTCCTATTTCTGAGTAGAAATCTGCAATTTCATACGATATGCGGTCAGCAGGTGGTGCTGGTTTGGGCTTTTGTGCTTTCTGTGGTGGATCAGCAGCCATAGAGTTATAAAAGAGGGGTGGTGGGCAGATGATATTATTGTCACTCATCGAGTCCATGTCTTCCTTTACTTTGACTTTTCTGTGTTTTGGTGCCACTTCTGTTTGGGTGGCCACAGTAGGTGGGCTATCAGCACGATTATATTCATATTGGGTAGCTTTAGCAACGAGAACATCTCCCTCAGATGGCTTAGAGGCTGGTGTTTCTATTTCAGCCTCCTTAGGTGCTTGTCTTTCCTCATGACCTTCGACCCCTCGGCGCTGCATCACGGCACCCCTGGGGACATGTTGCATCAGCATTGTTCCCAGACTCATCAGGCGATATCCCATTTCTACCGTACCAATCTATAAAATAGGAAAAAAAAAAAACAATTGAATTTTAGCATTCTGTCTTTAAGTCTTAGAGTTACTTAATGACAATGGCAACGTCTATGAAGTTCCTTATTCCTAACAAAAAGTAAAGTAGAAAAGTAAAAAGTAGTAAGTAAAGTAGTAAGTAAAAAAAACAGAATGTTGCCGAACACAAACATTGTGCATGTGCATGTATGTACAATATACATGTATAATGCATCAAAAACAAGTCAGTAATTTTGTTCATTCTTTTTTTAAGTACTGCCAGCGTTAGTGCTATAAGAAAATTATACACACATTTATGTTTATTATGTAAAACAGATGTAGCTTCTACTATTAAACTTTTTCATTTCCTCACAAATAAGTCACTCAACTTTGTTTTCATATCACAAATCAAGGACAATTGATTGAAGTTACCTGAGTGCCCATGAGATTGTGTAGAGGAAACTCTCCCTTCTCACCATGTACAGAGGGAGATGTGATTCCATCAGTCTGGATGTCCTCATACACCAGTTCCATGGATGACGTCAGGGGGACCGAACTGTTACCCACCAATCGCGGCACGTCTGACCAGCTGTCAATCACCATGACGTAGAGAGGGATGTTCTTCAGATGTTGACGGAGAACCTTGGGCTGCATCCTCAGCAGACAGGACTTTCCCTTTCCGAACTCAAACCTGCCCGTCTGCCCGTGTTCCTCCTCCATGGGCGCCCATGTAGGGTCGGAGTGGATCCCGAGTTCCCTCATGCGCAGGGCGGCCTCCGTGACGTCGTGCCGGATCAGGAGGGTTGGGAAGTCGAGCAGTCGGAAGGCCACGGCGGGAAGACGACATTGTACCGCCGCGCCTCGAATGTGCACGGACTCCACAACGACTTCCAGCGAGAACAACGTTTCGGTTTCCATGTCCCGATATTTCAAGAGAGTCAAATAAATAACTTTTCAGCTTCTATGATTTCGGTCTCATTGGAATTACCCTTTGCTGAAGTCTTGAATAAATCCAGTTATACAATCTCGAAGGATTCTCACAAGAAGTTTGTTGTAACACATACCCAGCGCGAACTTCGATGAACGTTCGTTCTCTCGCCGCGGTCGCTCTGTGTTTTGGCGTATCAAACTTACAGATGGAAGGCGTTTTTAGCCAGCGAACGCCTACCTAAGCGGTTTGTGGACAGCTTGGATCGGTCTCGTACACATCCGCGTTACACCGGCCAGTCCCCGGCCAGTCTACGGACCACAAATGAAGCAAAACCTCCGAAAAGAAGAAGAAAAGCAGATCAAAATTTTCCTACTTGCCGCCATTTTTCCCTAAAAGGTCGTCACAGGGTTATTGGCACGTTCTATTCTATTATGGGAGAGACGAATATTATTGTTGTTATTATGTCCCATAATATTTATCATACAGTACTTAAACATTTCTTTCAAAAACAAATATGATAGTTATCTTTTGTAGCTAACAATACGCTCATCTTATCAACATTGTTTGGTTTATTTAAAAAAGTAAAATGCACGCGCCTCCTATTTTCACAATGGCGCTGTACCACAAAAGTCCCTGAAGTCTAACAACATGGCTGATATTTTACCCCGGCTGTGGTTTCCTCTCTCTGCCGCCGCCGCGACCACCGGAATTATTCTCTTGATAAGGTGAGCAAATCATGATGTTCTTTTATGTGCATAATGGGTCACCTGCTACTTTGCAATGTAGTTTAAGCATCGAAACTGTACGTAAATACGTAGATTGCGTAAGGGGGAGGGGGGCAACGTGGTCTGCAAAACTGCATGTCGTCCTCTATGTATTCCTGATATGTGATGCAGATACACGTACTTGACAGTTTCAACAACTAATTATGTCCAAAAAATAATTCTAAAGGATCCAGATAAATCTAAACTTCAATTGTTTTAATGAAATGATTTTCTTTGACTTTGGAAAATCTTGATACCCTACTGTCTACATGAAGGTCAAACTAAAAGGTGTATGTGCATATATATGTGGTGCAATCGTGTGATTCGTCCATACGTCCATATAATTTCAGTTCAATACGTGCAATAGATGTGAGATTATGAAAACAGATTATGAAAAGTAGGTTGTCAGTTAAATTCAGCTCCAAACATATGTTTGTGCGTCGCTGTCTGTCTGTCTGTCTGTCTGTCTCTCTCTCTCTCTGGGTAGATGGTTGTGCATTTATACATGTAATGAATATTTTTACATTGTCAGCTCCTAAAGGAAACAGAAATAAAGTTATGATTTTTGATGTTTCAGAGATTACGTACATGGTGAGAGATGCCCCAGCAAGGCTACTATGGAAGGAAAGACAGTCATCATCACTGGTGCCAACAGTGGGATAGGCAAGGAAACAGCAAAGGAGCTGTCTAAAAGAGGTATGGTCGAGGATGCTAATGTAATAAAATAGAAATGTATTTTGGCAGCTTTTTTATTATCAAATTTGAAAACATTGAAACCACGGAGGTTAATCTTTTTTGGACATGTAGTTTGAGGGAAATTCTTATCTATATCTATGCATTTGTGAATGTTGTTAACTTGTGAAAAAATCATACATCCATACATTCATACAATAATACTATATTTTCCTGTGTGCATATTCAGGTGGTCGTGTTATCATGGCCTGCAGAAACATGGACAAGTGCAAGGAGGCGCTTGATGAACTGGTACAGGAGACAGGAAACAAGAACGTCCACTGTCAACACGTCGACCTCGCTTCCTTTGAATCTGTTCGAAAGTTCGCCAATAGAATAAACAAGAGTGAGTGAATACTTCACAACCATTGTCCTTGATTCTACTGTCTTCTGTCTTACCCGGTAGTCATTACTAATAAAATGCCAAAAGATGACCTTAGCAGGAAGAAGGTTAAACAGAGGCTTCTAGCTCTCTGGAGACAGCACAACAGCAGGTTTTGTAAAAAAAAAAATTAAAACCAAGTTTTTTTTCTGGTGCATCAAGCATGAAAGGTCAAAAACTGTTGTTTTTATTTTTTGTTGTTATATTTTGTTGTTGGTGCTCTCTTGCAGGTGAGTCAAAGGTGGACGTGCTCATTAACAACGCGGGGGTGATGCGCTGCCCCCACTGGAAGACTGCTGATGGCAATGAATGGCAGTTTCAAGTCAACTATCTAAGTACGAGAAGTTGGACTAAGTTTTCCCTCTCCCTGAATTTCCAACTCCTTTCTTTCAGTATACTACAGTATGCCTCTGTCTTTCAATTTGTATTTCTGAATACCTCTTAAATTTACCAATCCATTAATACAAGTTAGCACAATGATTTGCATGGTTGTTACAAACTCTATAAATTGACACGTCATTCCTCCAACCCAAATGCACTCAAACATAGGCATTTGTACTGCCACTTAAACAAGGCCATTTAATTTTAACTGCAAGTGCAACTTTATGGATATCCTCAATTTTAAGTGTTGAAATTTTTGGCACAATTTTTTTCTTTTCTTACTTTTTTGTTACATACTAGTAGCTTTTTCAAGAAAAGTACACTTCTGAGTACGCTTAGAGACTTGGCGTTACAGCATCCAACGTCCTTTTATACACTCTACAATCTTGTCATCTTTTCAGGTCATTTCTTACTCACCAACTTGATACTAGACAAACTGAAAGCTGCAGAGCAGGGCAGAATCATCAACACGTCCTCGATAGCACACGGGCATGGCAAGATCAAGTTTGACGACATCAACTCCAAGGACAAGTATGACGACGTGGAAGCGTACTCACAGAGCAAACTGGCGCTGGTGTTGTTTTCACTTGAGTTGAGCAATAGGCTGGAAGGTAGGATGGAACTAGACATAGTTTGATGTATTCATTATCAGCAACATGTACAGTGTCATGCATAATTATATGCATGTGTACATATTGTATGAATTTGTTTTCATATACATGTATGTACCCAAGGCCACTCTGAAAAGCATTGCCTAGTTACTGAGAGTGCTATCCTGGTAAAGGGACAAATAAATACCAGTAAATAAATAAATGTAGCTTGAATTTGAAGACGGGATTTGTTTAACTAAAGAAGTCTACTATATCCTGGAATCCATTCAATTGTTGCTGAGGTAGGAGATCTCGGGAAGCAGACAAGCTAGACTCCAGGCTAGAGTTAACAATAAGAATCATCTAGAAAGAATTATGAGTGATATGAATATGATCTGTTAGCTTTTAGCTTTGCTATGAGTGGCAAAACTAATGATGTAAATGATGAGAACTACCTTATGGAATTTTTTATTGATGGATCTGTTGTTTTTTTTACAGGTACAGGTGTCACAGCAAACACAGTGTACCCCGGTGTGACAAAAACCAACATAGGCCAGCACAAACTATCCAAAGTTGATTCTGTGGTGACCAAACCGTTTATGTGGTTCACGCTACGGGAGCCAGCACGGGCGGCACAGACGGGAATATATCTGTCTGTCGCTCCAGAGGTGGCCGACAAAACAGGGAAATACTGGAAGTAAGTCTTGCGCTTGTGTTTTTTTGTGACACCTCAGGGGCAGAGCCTTCTTTTAAGTTATTGTTTGGAATCATGTGGTTACTTCCAATCTGCAGTTAATAAGACAGCCATTTTTCTGATGGGGACAAAGGGAGAATATTTCTTTGTCATTCATGTTGTTTTAAGTCTACAAGGTTTCTTTAAGCACGGTTCTGTGTCTTAATGGTCAACTTTGTACACAGCCCAGAAGTGTAATAGATTTACGTTATATATCTAACAAATGATACTTTCAATTGGTTACAAAACTGAGCAAGATTTCTGATGGGAGTTTGGTCATTAACTATCACCATAGTGTTGCCTTACACTCTGTTAGAATCACATACCCACAGTTAAAGAATCCCTTTGCAGATATCTATTGAGATTGAGTTACTGCCCAAGTCTGTCATTGAAGCTTCCAATGCTTCAAATGTTTAGTGGGAAGTGGATGGTGTAAACATTATTACACAGTAATTGTACAAGGTACAAAGTATGGCATCAACTAAATTCACTAATTATAATCTACCTTACAAACACTAGTATTTAGCATATAGAGTGGGACTCAAGGGAATACAATACATGTACTTATTCTTTTACAGTCAATCATCGGACGAATTTCTAGCATTCAGACATGTTTTTTTTTACATTACATGTAGTTTGTACGTGCAATGCATGGGTTGTCACATCTCAATTACACATGTTTGTATACTTCTAGGGACACGGTTGCTATTAGACCTGCTCCTCAAGGCAATAATGAAGAAGTGGCCAAGAAGCTCTGGGACTTAAGCCTTAAGATGACAGGACTGCCAGAAGATATGACAAGTAATGACCAAAGCAAGGAGGAGAAAACATCATGATGATGATTATATTAGACATGAATTCTAAACTATAATGCAGCATGTTTTCTTTAATCAGTCTGTTATAAGAAAAAAGTACACTTTTCTAGTCAGGTAGCTATAATTGCTTTTATTGCATAGCTGTAAAGGGTTCATTGAAACAATGTTTGACAAAAATTGTACATATCAGAAATAAAGTAAGATATAAAATCAAATGTAGGAAGTTGGTATCAACTGAAACTGAAAAAAAAACTTTTGAGCATACTGGTCTCATAAATAAGCAAACTGGTTGTCATTTTAAAAAAAAATTGATACCTACCCACATTTACAGCTTGCATATTTTGTTTGGCACTGATCATAAACCATCTTATTGGAAAGGTTATATATATATACATGCATAATGATGTTTCTTTGTGTAAATTAAAAGATACATAAGACTTCACCACAATGACATTTTGTAGAATTCATCTTTCCCATTCTTCTGTGCTAACAACTTATATAACAACTTGTATAACTACATGTAGTATGGCAATAGAACTTTTTTTTTCTAAAATTTCAAACAGGAGCATTAGCCCATCAACAGGGGTCTAGAACACTGGACGTAAAAACTCTTCGTTGGGTTCATTTTTTCCACACTTCATCAAATCTTCCTATCTATTGCAGTTAACATATATTTATTAAACTTATTCAGTATGTAATCGAGTGATTCACCTTTCTGCAAAATTGCATCAATAGGTTGTCAACAAGACGGTATTTTTTTCCATAAATCTAATAGTATCTAACTTATTCAAATTTATAGGCACAGTGATGTTTTAAAAACGTCATGGTTACAATTTCACAAACGAAGGTTTTCGCACAAGATCTAGAATCTTTACTATTCTCCCAAATACTGACATGGTGACTTGTGGGAATCCATAATGAAAATGAAACAATGTAAAAAATAAGAAGCAGTATAAATGTGAGAATAACACATTGTAAACACCACTATAGATAGAGTGATCTTTATTTTCTTGCTTCAAACCTTTCCAGAAACTCACTTTATCCTGACTCAACCATCAACATCTGTCCTCCCAGCAGGAGTTTCAGACAGACATGTCATCCTTGGGTCAAAGATACCTGAGCAAAATACATTTCCCATCTAAAAAAAAAAATTCTACATGACAACAAGATTCCAACTCTCAAGTCATCAGGCACACTGTACAAATTCCTCAGCCCCTGAAGCTTTACCAAAAAAATGTAGAGAATGTACCCTTGCTCTAGAAGTTCCAGCCCCTGGGAAGTTAAATGTCCCCTCTAAGAGACGGTGCTCCCCTGTCAGCTGGACCCCATGCCTGCCGTACAGCCGTAGCAGTGGTTGTCTGTTACGACCCTTGACCCCAAGAGGTCGTCCGTACTGGTGATGTCATAAACTGACAGTCCCTTGGTCTTCAGGTCAGGGTGCATGGCAGAAGGTCCTTCTTTTGTGGGCTTCTTTGCAGAGAGACCTACAATGTACACAAATCAGTAAAAAGATTTACCCTCTGCCTAACCCCATAATCTAACAGTACAAAGAGAACTGGTAACCAAATGCCTACACCTCAGTGTACTAAAGATTTTTTTTAAGTCAAAATAGTAAGACTTAAGTTTTACTTATTGCATGCATATCAGAAAGCAGCAGAGTCATTTGAAACCTTTATCATAATTGGCCCAGGTTGTTGCCATTTACTATTATTCAAAGCAGAATAATGTAAAAATTGCCTCAACATGGAATACTTGATTTTTTCATCTGTACTGTTATGTTCACTGTTTTCACTGTCACTTCTGTACCGTGAACTTATCATTACAGTTAACAAAAATAATCCTTAGACTTTCTTTTTCCTGCACCTGTCACGATCGTGAATATATAGTTCCGTGAACATGTCCATTTTTCTCAGACTGAAATTTTGCTTCCGTGAACATAAAGTGAACTACAGTTACTGTAACTCTTTGAGCATTTTTCCCCGCCCCCTAACCTAGGTTATCGATTGATGTTAAACATGCAAAAATTACTTTAATGACATTTAAGATTATTACTATTAGATGGCAAATGTTAGTAAGACAATGTTAACATTTTTTTTTTCAAAGTAATTAGAAGTGAATGTAAATAGTTGTTATAATGTTTGTATTTTACAATGTATGTAAGAGGACTCCAGGAAGAGTAGTGGTGGTATTGTCACTAATGGGAGGTTTCTGAAATACAGGTAAACAAACAAACCTAGCCTTGTCCTGGGAATGGTGAGGTCCAGCTGCTGGTTAAAGTCACAGTCATACAGCCGTCCGTCCCAGTTCACACTCAGCAGGTTACGGCACATCAGGCCCTTCACTGACATCGGGTTGAAGTTCCCCACTAACAAGTTCATGTAGTCCTGGAGCTCATTCCTAATATGTGGGCAGAATCAAAAGATAACCTTTATTGTACATCCATGCCCTAACAGGGCTAAGTACAGGTAAACAGATGCAGTGCATGTTTGTTGTACAATATTATATTGATATTGATTTTGAATATGAAATCAGATGGAGTTTTGCTGCTTGTGGGTAAGCCATGTTAAAAAATGTTCTATTGTTTTTGTAGACTGTTGCTGTCCCAGTCTAGTGCATTAGCATCTGAAGGTTATATTTAAGGTAGAAATGATCTGTAAACTTTAAGCTGATATCGTTGCCAAGTCAAGGCTATCATTCCAAATCCATGTTTTGCAAATATCCAAAGCCTCCCATAATTGTCAAAAGCCTCTCTAGAATCACACACACACCACTTCCACTGTTCCTCTAGCTGTAGTGCTTGCACAGCTGTGTGGCCTAAGGGCTTTAGAAATGGGGATGGGCACTTCCCTATCACCATGCGGTGTGGGAAGGACTTCACCTTTATTGTTGCCCATTTGAATGTAAACACACACACACACCACCCCCACCCCAAAATCAGCGTTTTCCCCATGTACCAACCTCCTGTACAGGAAGTCAGCAAATCTCTTGATCGGCATGTTGGTGACCGTGTAGAGCTTGTTGAACTCAATCCCAAAGGTATCCCACAATTCCTGTCGGTACTTGTCCTCCAGCTCATGTTGCGGAGGAGGGAGGAAACCTCCTGTGGAAATGAAACCAAGATCAACAAATGACAAAAATGGTGTCAGAGGTGGGATCGTAACTTGAAATCTAATCTGGGGGTGGTCTAGCAGCTCCATTGAACAGTCTTTAAAAGTAGAGATGTGTGTGTGTATGCGTACATATGAGCTACTTTTGATTGTGTGACCAAACTGGAAGATGTCAAGAATGGTAAGATATGCAGCTTCAGACACCAGGATGGGTTTCATACATTGCAGGTGGCTGATATCTGATTATGTATGGGTCCATCCTTGCACCAAATTTGCAGCAGGTACATTGTAATTACAAGGAAGAGGGTTCCACTTGCCCAGAGGGTTGTAGACCAGGTCCAGCTCCAGACCAGTGCCAGGCTTGCCGTATCCCCGCTGGTTCAGCAGGAGCAGTGCCTGGATACTTTTGTCAAACACACCCTTACCTCGCTGCATGTTCACATTCTTAGCACTGTGGAGAAAAACAAAAGTTATCAAAATGCCTCCTTCCCTGAGGCATCGCCAAAAAAATGTCCATTCCTCACAACAATTTTATCACTTTTATTGCAAACTTACTGAATGCAAACTACACTGTATAGACGGGATGTCATCCTCAAAAAGGCATGAATACAATGGTTCTGCAGAAGTGCTGTGCAGGATACACAGTATGTTCTGCTAATATACTCAGACCCTCAATGTACACAAGAGTCTTTAATCCCCATCTCCCATAATTGTCAAAAGCCTTCCAAAAAGAGCAATACAGTTTGGGGCAGAAAGAAAGATTCAAATACTGGATGTTTCTGCTTCACTTAGTTGGCGCTGACATTAATAAGTTGATTGATTGATTGATTGATTGGTTGGTTGGTTGGTTGGTTGGTTGGTTGGTTGGTTGGTTGGTTGGTTGGTTGGTTGGTTGGTTGGTTGGTTGGTTGGTTGGTTGGTTGGTTGATTGGTTGATTGATTGATTGATACCTGTAGCAAGGTAGAGAGGCCACCACGCTGACACGGTGCTGAGTTAAGAAGTCAGGTAAATCTTCCTGTCCAGGCTCCAGCAACACAGTAAGGTTACACCTGTCTAGCACCTTCTTCCCTAAAGCACTGCCCCCTGCTGCCAGGTAACGGAACTGCGGGTTCAGTTCCGGTGCCCCACCTAGAAGTGGCAGTAGGGAAAATATCATTGGCGATGACTGCAACTGTTATTCAGTCAAAAAATTGACTGACTTTCCCATCAAAAACATTGCTGCACATCTTCAAATATCACTCTTTTCACTTCCAAACAGAATACATGAAATTGCCAGCAAAATGTGATGGTACTTAATACAATTGTCATACAATTGCAAAACTGAGGGCATTCTAGGAATGTGTTCTACAAAAATTAAGCTGTGTAATGCTTACAGAATATATGAATGGTTTGTTGTATGTAAAAACAACAAGATGTATTTCACAGTCTCCCGAATTACATGCACCTTTACAGGTGCTTAAAATCACAATTCTAAAATTACTTGGAATTACAAACAAAATTTAACAACAATTTACATTCTAAAAAGTCTTCCATACAGCACATCATCAGGTAGTATTCAATTCAA